GTCGAACTTTTCATATAAAAACGTGTTACCGCGTGGCTTTTTATATCAATAAAAACAAAGTACAGTAACTTTTTAGCATATCTTTCATATTGCGAAATAAAATAATTATTATAAAGACATCAAGATAGCTGTTTTAAACTTTGGACTATGATTTTTATTGCTGTACATTAAATATAATAGATTATCCTGCGTAGTACTTGAATTTAATGTGACGCTGGTCTAATCTAAGCTTAGACGGCGTGGGTTTGAGTTCCGGGTAGAGAAAAGGTTTTTATGGAATTTTTTAGTAAGGAACTAGGCAGTTATTCCTATTATATATTTGTCTGCTTTAGAGACTACGTTGTTTAATCATCGATTCTAACTGTAATCTATCGAGCTTTAGAGTGAGGAAATGTACAGTACACCTATATTTGCACTTTATATGACTGCTTGTTAGATTTGAATCTACCGAACAAAAATAACATATTACAGATAGATCATTAGTCCTTTTAAAGGTCAAGAAACTCTTCGGCCTTCAAATAAATGAGAACACTAAAAATATCTTTAAATTTAAACAACAAATTATTTTCGTCTACAAATAGAAACTTTGTTTCTAATTAAATTTTCTACCTTCAAAAGATATTCACGGAAAATTCCAGTAAAGTTTCTTGATTTAATAGTTAAAACCTATGAATAGTACCGCCGCCGTCCCGGAAATACGCCATTAAGCCGTAATGGACGACGCACTTCCGCCTCCAACTATTCACACCCTGTGAAATCTGTAAATAAAACCTTTTTGTAATACAAATTACGTGACTTTCAAATTGATAGTGCAATAAGAAGAGAATATTACACAACTATGTGAAAGAAACACACATATTTGTATGTGTGTATGTTTCTCCTTCACGCTAAAACGGCTTTGGATTTGGATAGAATTTTGTACATATGTATACTAAGACATACTGTACTGTATACAATATTACTATTATTACTGTATATAATTTTTATTTTATTTTATTTAGGGTCTCCAACAAAAGATACATGCTATATACATCATCATTTAAAAATATAAAAAGCAATTAAGGCTCGCAACACGTGAGCTCCTTCACGTATTGGATAGGACCACAGCTAACATTACTACTAAAGTTGACAAAGGAATTTAGTAAGACTACGTTTAAATTCAAACATATTAGTTGAAAAGATATCTAATTCAACATGTTGTTTAGAAAGTGTATTGTACTATCTTCAGGTCTTTGGCATAGCGACGTGATATCACAAATTCATTTTGCACAATGGAGAATAAAACAAATTAAAGTATTCCTCAGAGGCAAGCGAGAGGGTATGTTAAATTTTATAAGCTGTAGAAATTCACTACAATCAATTATAGAGTGTTATAATATCTGCTATTTTTCTACGAGATATAATATTATAAATAAAACATTATATAAAAATAATAAACCCGACTGCATGAAAGCTAACTAAAAAGATGAGAACAGTTTGACCAAGCAATATAGTATTATGCAGTCGGAGACATACACATTTCATTCTTGCCGCGAGATATACATATATATGTAATCATATCATTAAAATCGGCTTACGCGTTTGGTCTATAGAATGCCACACAGGAACATAGATACATACTAGCGGACCCGACAGACGTTGTCCTGTCTACACGTCTTTAATTTGAAAATTTTAAACTTTTTTTAATAATTTTTTTGATGAAAATTATTATTCAAATTGTGAATCTAAACCATTCCCAGATCCCCTTGAACACACTCAAAAAATTTCATCAAAATCGGTTCAGTCGTTTGAGAGAAGTTCAGTGACATACACACTCACAGAAGAATTATATATATAAAGATGTAGATTGCGTCGCGCCCTCCTCTGCGTCGCGCAGTCGGGTAAAAATATACTTAGGGACTTATTACGTTAGTATTCAAGATGTTTTGTAGTTACCTAAGCAATGAAGCGATATGATTATTCATCGGCGATATAAATAGAAGCTCAACCATCAATTTCCATATTTTTAACTTTATAAAATTATGGACTTTTTTATTTTATTAGCTTCCATTAGGGCATTATTTTTTTAAAATTCTTCCTAAGCTGTTCTTTGCTATAAAATTAACTTTTGGAAAGTTTCGTATTAGTAGTTTTATGATATCTATAGATAGATATAAGTGCTTTATTGATCTTGTAGTTAGCTATACCGCTACAAATTATTAAATCTTGAATTCAAGACTTATGGCCTCTTTGACTTGTGAGTCTTTTGGACATGCTTGATGGAAGAAAAAGAGATAATGTAAGTAAAAATATATGTAAATAATAGCAATATTTTCTATTATTCTGAGTAACATGGAGTTAGAAAAATTGCTGTAAAGCCTCCGTACGTTTGAGAGCAGGTAACTCTTATTTTTGTGAAAGCTATTCATCAATAAGATGCTGCGTAATAATTGGCTTTATTATATTTAGCTTTAAAGATAAATACCCCGAGTGGAAATCGAACCCAGTCTCCCGTCATATTAAGCGTTGTTACTTACAAAGATATAATCCTACTATCCAATACCTTATGTAACAAGTTTATTAATTAACGCAATATTAAAGATATTTTATAAAGGATCTCGTTCTAATAAAGTTCGAGACAACCGTTCCTTAAAGCTACTTACTAAAAATAAGCTTTTTATCTTTTAAGAAAATTATTTACGTTATATCTTTTTAATTAGCTTAAGGAAAATTAATTTTCTCAAATATTTACGAGCAACAAAATGTTAATTCTTGTACAACTTTTGCTGAGCATTGTTACTGCTGCGGGCGCGGGATCCCAATAATATACTATAGATATAACTTATAAGAGTAAGTTTGCTCTCTTGTTAATAAACGTGGGTTATATTGTATGATTTACTAATACATTTTCACCACATACACGAATAGACTAGAAAATATAGACATTCATTTATCAAAATTATACAAATAATACATATAAAAACATCGATAAATACCAATCTAACGTTATCCTGTCCAAACGTTAGCTTTTCGTTTAGATAGCATAATTGATTTTGACAATAAAACAAATACTATGAGACAAACATACAAAAAAATCATCAAAATCAGTCCAGTAGCTTAGGGGTTCAGTGACATACACACGTCCAGTAGAAGTATATTAAATGTATACAAAAGATTTTGGCCTTTTGAATATGTATAGTGATGATGATGATGTATAGTATAAGTGCATCCGCGGGTAAAGACTAGTTATTTACATATTAAACCAAACGAGACCAACAATAATTAATATAATTAATTATTAAAATTTCTAATTTTACTACTAATTACTAAACATGTCTTCTGCTAAATTAACACATAATTTCAGAACTGATTTCAGGATTATCTCTGATGCTTCATTTAAATAATTTATGAGTCACCTGCTACGACTTAGTCCACGTGTTATTTAAACTAATATTGTACTAAGTACGCTACTTGCTATGCCAGCGGTTGTGGATTCAAATCCCGCTGAGGGCATTCATTTATGTGATGAGTACGAATGTTTGTACTCATGTCATGGATTTTTATATTTATAATATGTATGTATTTAAAGTTACCTATATATGTGTAGTGTATCAACTATCTGGTATTCATAACACAAGTCTCGTAGCTTAGCATGGAACTAGATGGTGCTGTGTATTAATGTCCCGGCATATTTATTTGCAATAACAACGTAACGGGCAGTTGAGAAAAGATATAAAAAAACGTGTGTGTACCTATGTACGCACGTAAAAAGTTATACTTCTTTGCCGTAACAGAACAAAAATAGCTAAAGGTTTCATCCCGTGTGTCACAACTCTCTGTTTGTAAAAAGAATGATAAATTAATAAAATAAATAAGGCATATTAGACATATTACAATCACATAGTTATAGAATACTAGCGACTCACCCTCGCTTCGCTCAGGTCTGTCCCTAGGTTGATTCCCCATACAAAATTTATCCCCATTTTTCTTAAATTTTCTAAATTTCTGCGTAATTTTCTTATTTTTTTTTAATGTAAGCACCTTCTACGAAGTATTAGATAACATTTAAAAAAATGAATGAAATCGGCAAAGCCGTTCTCAAGTTATAGCGTGACCAGGAGAAATAGGGTTACATTTATATATATATATATATATATATATATATATATATATATATATATATATATATATATATATATATATATATATATATAGATCATTTAAGGCGTGCGCATCGTAAAAATTTTACTCTCATATTTTCCAAAACGTCCCAAAAGAAGTATAACTTCAAAAATATACCTTAATATTAAAAGTCAAAGTATTTGAAGTGATTTATTTCGAATCTCATCTACAAGAGAAAAAAGATTAAAAGTTTCACTCGTCTTTGATCATTCGGAGTCAATTTACACAAAAACAGTCTTTCGGAAATATTCGTGTATCAAAGCTTTAACAAACTGATGCAACACAGTACGTTCTAAAATTGTGACGCGGTGCAATTTTTAGCGAGTATTCATTCATCCATTATAGAAAGTGGGGCACCGCACTACCACAGTCTAACTAACCTTCGTGTACCTATAGATCAATTAGCTTATTTTAAGTTAGAATTGCAATCTATTTAGCACTTATTAACGTCCCACTGCTGGGCACGGTGTTTTCCTTGACAGTAAGACAAGCGGTAAATAATTATGTTGGAAAGAATTGTCAATATTGTTGAGTAATAAAAAAAAGCTTTTATATTATGCTTAAATCAAATAGCACGTTCTTCCTTAAAAAATAGTTTGATAACTCTTTATGAGTCTATTTTTTTCTCTCATTTTACTTAAGCTTATGGTATATTTTTAACCAACGGAACCCCCGCCGAATTAATGGATTTTCAGACTTTAATAATTACCCCCACTACAAGAAGGTGAACGCACATTGAGGGGAGAAAGGCCCACAGCCTTACCTTTTTTTAATTATGATAATTTTCGATATACTAATACTAACATTGTTCGCGCCACTCGGGCGCGAACACTGTTAGTATGCAGGAAAACGTCTTCTACGAGATCCCGGATGACGAGGACCTCACCGATGACGTCGAGGCCACCTATACTAAGAATTATGAAAAGGCGATTTCAGAATACAATGATATCTTATTTGCGTTTGAGAAATTATGTGTGGCCTCAGCTCTTCCGGCGACTGTTCATCCGTCCACGTCAGCCACACCTGCTAACGTTCTGCCCAAAATTGCTCTGCCATTAGTATCAGCTCAGGAAGAGGTGCTCTCTCGGGCCCACCAGGATGTACGCGCCACTCGGGCGCGACGATTGATTCCCTGATTTGTTGTCTCACTCTTACTCATTGATTCGGCGCGAGCGTCGCATTCGCGCCACCCGAAAAGAGTCACGCGTCGTCCTCGGTTCGAGAAGGGTCGTTAAATTGAAAATATGTGTTAAAGTAAAACCCTTCAGCTCATCTGCTCGTGTGCTAATTATTATAAGTATATTGCCTGCCGGCTTCTATTGAAGTGATGAACTATACAGACAATTGAACTAATTAAAGTGATATTGAATACAGCGTATGATATAAAACTTTTGTTGCACGTGTACCTATACGTGCAAAGGTATATTCATATTCAGCCCAGGAGCGTGCCATCCACCCAGCGCCATCCATCCACCATCCGCCCATCTACATTCCAAGTAAGTGCACACCCTTACATCTCCTACTCAATTTATTCCCATTCATACAGTCCAACCCCCGCTTCAGCTCATCGTCGATGTGAGGTTTCCCAGCCCTTACAATTTTTGGGCTAGCCCTCACAAACATATATCACGAAAAAATGCAAAATATATTTTGCCTTCGCAATTATTTTTAAGGTATTTGAATGAATATATTTCTGGATATTTGAAATGATGTCAGATTACACTCCAGAACTAGCGCCCTGAAAATAGTTACATATATACTCGTATATACGACGTGAAATTTTATTTAGGAGAAATAATCGTGAAAAGCGTAAGCTTAAAGCTCCAGTTTCAAAGAGTATTCTGAACAGTGTGAGAGAGCTTTATCTTCTTTTAAAGAACCTAAAATATTGTCACGCTGCATAGTTCGTACACTATGGCAAAACGATGCAAAGTACTTTAATACTTCAAAAGCCATTACTTCGAACGCTTTAACACTTCCCAAAGTGATATATTTTTTCACATAAACGCATACTAACTTTGTTATTTTAATGCCTTCGTACACCTAACGAGTGCACTTCTACTATAACTAGACTAAAACACTGTAACTAAACTAGACTAAAAAACACTCCTTCGCTTGTGCAAAAGGCATTTTTGAAATGGGGTGAGTAGTTTCTGAGCTTAAAGCACTTAAACATATTATAAACATCAATATTATAATAATGTATGGAAGTTCGCCCAATTTGTTGACATTTATGATTACTGCTCCGCTCCCTTGGGTAGTAGTATGATGATATATAATTTATAATCTTTCTCAATAAACGGGTTATCGAATGCAAAATAATTTTTTAAATCGGATTAGTAGTTACTGAGATTAGCGCGTTCAAACAAACAAACAAATAAACAAACAAACGAGCAAACAAAGTTTGCCTCTATAATATTGGTATAGATCTATAATATTAGGTTTAAGCAAACAAAAAAAAAACAAAAACTCTTCAGATATATTATAACATTATCAGTATGGATGTACAGAAATACAAATTAAATAATACAACCAGTAATATTTCGAATAAAACGATCCTTTATCCCATGTTCATTAACGTAATTGTCTACATGTACTCGTATGTGTTTGCGAACCAAATATATGAAATTTCGACAGCATTTAATTTATGGTCATTAATTTTACTTGTGCATTATAAAGACCTATTTCAACGCTTATTAGCTTTGAAATTACATTAATTTATGTATTCTACAAGTATCTGTCTGCAGTTTGACATGTTATTCATATTTTGATCTCAAGCTCAATATAAATGCAAAGGTTTTCAGTATTTAGTAGTAGTTTTGTGTATGTCTGTATGTTTGTTACTCCATAACATTGAAACGGCTGGACGGATTTGGATGAAATTTAGAACACAGATGACTGACCTAGAGTAGCAATTTCGTAATGAGTGGTACGAATGTCAAAGCCCCGTCGCGCTGAGTTTGTGTTTATTTGAGCTAATGTCAAAAATTACTGAACTGATTTTTATAAAATATGCATTAATAGATAGAGGAATTATCAAGGAAGGTTATATATCATAATTTATGAGCAACTTGAGAAAATAAGTTACTGTTATAAAGATAAATGTGACTTAAAACGAAAATATCGTCCGTTCTGAGAGTTTAACGAAGCGAGAGTAAGTCGCTAATCACCAAATGTAATTTATTTGGGATCGGGGAAAAGGATATAAAGCTGTATATAACTTATGGCTTGGTTTGACCAATTTATTAGATTTTCGCAGTATTTTTTATAAAATTTTTGGCGATAGCCGTAGGTTATTCTTCGTACCTTATTTAAAACCCATGTTCTTTTTTAGAGCCTTGTATTGATAGGATGAAGTAAGTTTAATAATCTTATAGAGACAGATTGTATCCTAGATATAGAAATAGTATGAGGGTGGACTTGGTATTGGTACATAAAATTAAAATATTTTGTCCTAAAAAAACTTCTGTTAAGAACCTCTTCTAAATAGTTGGAGCCAAAATAAACAAAAATTGTTGTCAAAATATTCCACAGGCGGCTTTGCATAGGTTTAAAACAACTGTCAGATGTGTCTTCATGGTCTATATATTTCGCACGAACCCTTTTCCGGGGTAAAAAGTGTTCCAAATAACAACTTATAATGTACTACTACACACTAGCTTTGCTCGACGTTGTTACTGGAGTGTTATGTTACGGCGAAAAAATATATTAATACTATTTCCTTAGATTTACGCGAATATTTGACATTTTAAATAAAACTATCTTTTCACGACGTTTCGAATGCGTTACAGAAATCATGGTCACGGGAGAGACCATGATTCCTCTAAATCACGTGACCATGATTGCTGTAAAGCATTCGAAACGTCGGGAACCAAAAATCTAAATAAATCCGCGAAAAAATTCGAAAAGATAGTTTTATTCAAAATATATTAATACTCTCTAAAAATCTTTGACTTTTTAAAGAAAATATTATTAAAATCAAAATATTTTATATCATTACTTTTAAAAAAATATATAAAACTATTAGTGGCTAAATTTAAAACTGTTATAGAAACTGTCACATTACGGTTTTAAATGGCTAATTTTAAATTAAATTTAGTAAAATACTTGAAATTAATATGTCGGGCTTTTTTCTTCATAATAAAAAGCTTTCTTTCTATTTGGGGTAACGCAATATATGGCAGGAGGGAAATTTAACGAGTGCCATTTTAAACCGGAACAAACACACTCGTCTTGCATTCGACGTGTTTACCGAGGTTTTATTCACAAGATTAGAAAAATTGAAGCTGTAAATCACAATCTAAGGGACTTTTAAAATAATTTGGTATTATTCAAACGTTCCTCTAGCACTGTGATAATGTGCACATTGGTGACGAAGGTCTTCAGTTCAAAGCCTATGAGAATGTGTTAATATATTTTTACTCTACTATCCTCTATTGGGAGAAATGTTTCACGAATATATTACTGTTTAAGACTTGATCAATTTTGACGCGCGATGCTGTTAGATTCGTATTAGTTGCGAGATTAGATTTAATTCATTTGTTATTGGCTTCCAAATGTTCAGTTGAGCACAAACTTCGCCAATGTCACCTAGAATGGAGAAGACATGGATATTTTAATTACATGTCTGCGAACTAAAAAAAGGAGAGAATACAATTTAATTATTAAGTGAAAAGGCGAATATCAAAATAATTAAAAGTAATATATTAACACCTATACCCCTCTTAGGGATAAAATATTTATTTTAAATTAAAATGTTAAAATAACCGAATTAAAAACTTCCACCATTTTTAAAGTATTTCTAAAATATATAACTGACACAATATCTGTAATTATAATTAATATAAAGAAAAAGTGGAAGAATATATAATTGTACATAAGTTCAATAAACTTTGTTTATAAGTAATGCTATTGACCGCTCGCCGCTCGAAAGCATGCCAGCAATTTAACTAAGTTTTACTTCAAACTCGTCCCTGTACAGGAATGTTATAACGAAAATATATTTCACAGAAACAACGATCTCGCAGAAGATGTCTACAATCGTTAATATATAAACTAAATAAAATTTGTATCCATAGGTACAGATAAATGAAATTGAAGTGTGTTTATAATGTTAAAATTACAGCTTTTTACTAAATGCACATGAAATTATATACGGTACTTATAATAGAAATACAATTTTTAAAACTTTGCCTATCTATCTGTCTGTTTGTTCTGGCTAATTTACTAAATGGCTGGACTGATTTTGATGGAAATTTCTTGGGCAGATAGGTGAGGTTACAAGGAGTAACTGAGGCTAATTTTATTTTGGAAAAATAATTAGAGTCCCGCTCAAAAAAAAAACAAAACGTATGCACCTAGGGACGCACCCGACGGGAGCGATGGTAAGTCGCTAGTATAATTTTTAACGATTTCTATACTTTAACGATTATATATTTGACATCTTTTGTAAGGTCCTAGAAGAAGTAAAATATTTTTATACTACTACGAGTAGTGACGTACCTTTAAGAACACAGAACTTTTTTTTCATACGACTAATTTCCCACAGGAAATATTCCATGTCTATCTCTTTATATTTTACACTCTTATGAAAGTTTACAGAGAATTTTATATTTTAGTAACATTTTATCCGGATGGTTTTAGTAGAATAATTGAATTGTGATGTTCTCCCGACCGATTCCGGCCACGGCGGCCAATCTCATTGAGACTAGCCAACTGCGCAGGAGATATTATAGTGCACAAGTGCACGCGCAGACACAACGTGCACTCTCTATTCCTGTCACTCTCATACTCCGGTGGGAGGACTGCTCGACACGACCAGTGAGAGTTAGGCGCAGGACCGACGGCTTTACGTGCTCTCCGAGGCACGGGGGTGAAACACCGCCAACTTCCCAACTCCGGGCTATTACTGAGGCTTACTATACAGAAAGACTCAGTAACTAAATGTGTCTACTATACAGAAAGACTCAGTAACTAAACTTGTTGTCCCGACCCGGGACTCGAACCCAGAACCTCCGGGTGTGCAGCCGTACATGCTACCCACTACACCACAGAGGCAGTTAATTGAATTAATATTGCTTTATATCTTAAAATTAAAAGACGAATCGGCCAGGATAGAGTACGGTCTCTACTATGGTATACTGTAAAGTGTTGACGTTACAGTATATATTTTGTGTGCTTGTTAATTAATTTTTAAACCAGTATACCTACCTTTGTTGTTAATAAATATTATAATATGTATATAATATATTTAATACTTCGAAAATATTTGATTAGGTATGTATAGTAAATGAAAACTACCAATCAGTTATTTTTTACTTTTTAGTGCTTTTGTTTGAAGTCGGTTTTTATTTTTTTGTTAAAAAGTTTTTATTTTTTATAATTATCTTATTTTTTATAATAAAATGTTTATAAGTCTGTTGGTACTTTTACGCAAATGGCCGTTTTTTGCATAACTGGGTCCTATTATAAAATAAAAATGTAAATATTTCACATACCTAAAGAAAATACAGACAAATTTATTACAAACGGTACTTTTTAAGTCTTAAGTCGGTCAAAAAAGATCCTGCAGAGTAAGTATGGATGAGTTGGGTCAATGGTATTGAAATAGTTCATATATTATAAGCTTACGTCATTCTATATCTACTTCTTTGTAAACTATAAAAACTTGGCATTCTAATGTAATGTAATTGCCAAAATTTTCTATAACTATTTGAAAGGCGAAAGCGGTAGGTTTTTCTGTCACCTAGTGATAAAAATTAAAATATCATAATAAAAGCCCAAGGACGCTAGACATATTCTACATACATCATCTTAACAAAGCTATTTGAAGGAATAATAGGTAATAAAAATATACACTTAAAAAAATCTAATAATACTTTCTTAGAATTACGCGAATATTTGATATTTTAAATAAAACTATCTTTTCGGATTTTTTCGCGGATTTATTTGGATTTTTGGTTCCCGATGTTTCGAATGCTTTACAGCAATAATAATCATCAAAAATGAGTCTCTGCCGTGACCATGATTGCTGTAAAGCATCTATAATCATTGCTATAAAAAATCTAAATATGTTAAAGCAGCAAGGTTGGTTTTTACATATATTTTATAGAATATAGTCAAAAATCAATATTCATAATTGTCAGAAGCTTTGCCTGGCGAAAACATTTTAAACTATAAAAATTAACTAAGCTACGCTATAATTCTTGGGTTCATTATTTATTTTGTATAAAGTATCAGGAAATTCTATCTGAGGATTTCGGCGCGTCTGAGAGAAAATAGCAAGTTTTCGAAAGACATTTGAAGTTCACCAATCCTCACTTAGCGTGGAGGCCTGATCCCCTTCGTATCGAGGGGAGGCTCGTGCTTAGAAGTGGGACATATAAAAAAGACAGAATAGCTGTGCAAAGTCTTTAAAAATTCCATGAAGTATATTTTTGGTATTTACTTTTTCAATCATAGGGGGGTTATAGAGAAATTCGAAAAACTGATTATCCGCCATCTGACTGAATGGTAATCAGTAATTACCATTTTAAATAAAACTATATTTTCAAAATTTGTCGCGGTTTCATTTTGATTTTTGGTTTCCAACGTTTCGAATGCTTTACAGCAATCGTGGTCACAGGAGAGACTGAAGTTTTAGACGTCTCAAAGGTCATAATAAAACAGTAAAAAGTAGTTACAGACAGTGCCTTCCCACAAAATCCATGTTTTCGAGTTTACTTATATATGTATATATTATTATTATTGGGGAAACAAACAGTATTTACGAATCTTTATACAATAGTTTATATAACTGGTTTATAGACCAATAAAGTTTTTACTGATATATCAATCATAGCGATCTAGCGATGAAGTTGACAGTTACAAAAAAATTACAAAAAAATACATATTAAACATAACAAAAACAAAAAAACATACAAAAATTAACTAAAATTAACAAAAATTATAAAATTAATCTCCTAAAACTAGTTGCTAAATAGATATAAAAATATATTACATAAGTTCTGTAATCAATTATTTACATTTTATGATGGAACATGTGTCAATATCTATATCATTAAAAATTAAAACGTTTATTTTAATTATTGCATGCACGTAACATAAAGGTATAGTTAATATATTTAGTTTTTTTTTACATTAAGTAAAAAATAAAGATTTAGTTCTTGTATTGATTCTGGGACATCTAATATTAATATTACCTAATAAGTAACGGGAATCGATAAATAATATTTCGAGTTGGGAGGCTACTTAGTAGATTGCAAACTAATAATAAATAAAGATTTACATGGAGGAACTGCAGGCAACAACTAGTTCCAAACGCAAACGTTGTTTGATGGAACAAAGCAGCTGTAACTATGATTAAATCTAAACTTAATTACAATAACTCCACTGCGACGTTATTTATGCACTATATACTATTGTTGTATACTCCATCTGCTACTACGCTGTGCACCAAATGTCAAGATGGCTTCCAGAATTTCATTCAATTAATTAAGTAAAATGAACTAAATGCAATTTTGGTTTGAGCTAGTCTGTTGTAATTTAGGGATTATTTTATGAAGATACAATTACGTTATTAAAAATAAATATGAAAATTAAAGATAATATTGACTATTGTATATTTTTTAATGAAATTATAGTGTGTCATGCGCATATTATGTGCACTCTCTATATCTTCAACTCACATATTTGGTTAATTTGTAGACAGGTGAAAGATAAGGCGTAGGATCAACAGTTTAACGTTTTATAAGAGATGTGATGCTAAAAAAATACTAATGATTCACTAACTAATTAGTGTGGAAAATAATATTTTATTTAGTTCTGACCTTCTTGAAATAGAGACAAAAGATCGTAGAGTTGATATAATTAATTAAAAAGAATATTTAATATTCGAATCAGTTTGAATACAACTTTAATTAGAAATTAATAAGCATCGTTAAGATTTAGTCAAGAGAATAAAAGTCTATCAGAAGTTTAACTAATAACGCCATAACACTCAAAACAGCTCACAAAGTTGGGATGACATCAACAACTCAATTACAGGCAAGCTTCAAAGTTGATCCGCGACAAGCCGCGGATACGCGTGCATCTGAAGCTAACTTTCCTTCAAGTTATAGAGAACTAACTTATTATTCGTATAACTAGATTTTCCCGCGACTTCGCTTGCGTAGTTCATTTCTTATAGTTATAGTAAGATATTAAAATACAGTGTTAGTTATAATTTTATCTAATATATAAATATCTCGTGTCACGGTATCTGTGGTCGCACTCCTCCGAAACGGCTCGACCGATTTTAATGATTTCTTTGTATATTTGGTAGGTTTGAAAAATAGGTCGTAAAGTATTTTTCAACCCCCCCCCCCTACGCCCCATTTTTTAATCGCAATTTTAGCATTTTTGTATGAACAATATTATATAAATACATAACTAAGAACCCGAGCGAAGCGAAGATTGTCGAGTCGCTTTATAACATAAAGTCAAAGAGTTTTTTTTTGTAGAGTGAACGAGGAAGTAGCCGCAAGTTCTACTAGTAATTTATATTTTGACAATAAAGGTTCGAATAGTTATCATTAGATCAAATGGATTCTTTATATTTTGTATTTTATAATTTTATATTAATTTGATATTGATTATTTATAATTTATTATACATAATTTTATAACATTAATGACTATATCGGTTAGTTGTATTTGTAATATTAATGTTTTAAGAGTATTGTCATCCACCGTTGGGTAATGTTATACGTAGAAGACAGATGTCGTTACGTTACACCCAACGGTGGGATAATAATGTTCTAAAAGTCGCAATTGACAATTTGTAAGGCATTCCGTGAAGTGATCGAAGTAAAGAGGATTTGCCAAAGCTCTCTTATTAGAAAATTCATTATTAACACTTCCAATCAAACATAAATATTTTTTATAAAAAAAATCTGCATTTTTATCAAAATTACCTATTTTGCTATTTGTAAAACATCCTATATAAGGAAATTTTAACGTACATTGAATATAAAGAGTTTTATTTAAAGAAACGTAAATTTCTCCCAGATATTTTTTTTCTTGAAAGTTATTTAGTCAACCTTGAAACAAATGTTATAAATTAAATATATGTTATAAAGAAGCTTATATTTATAAATTTATTCATAAAGTACGAAAATATGGTGTATAAATCAACAAAATAATATATACTTTAATATTCATATCGAATCTCTTCATTTTCCGAAATCAGTTAAAATTAATTTACAAAAACAACCTTATTATTAACATTTAATACTTGGGTATTATTAGCGTTAAACATTATTATTTATTATGCTACAAATATTTACATAGTATAAAATGAAGTAGCTTCCGCTGTCTGTTCGCTCAGATCTTTTAAACTACTCAACGGATTTTAATGCAGTTTCAGCAATAGATAGAGTGATTCAAGAGGAAGGTTTATATGTATAATACATGCATATTATAGTACAGAAAAGCTGAGAAATACAAAGGTATACCCAAGCGAAGCGAGGGTGAGTCATTAGTCTTATTACTTCTGCACGATATATCTAATTAAAATATGGAATAGAGATAACTAAAATCCTAAAAACATATACACTATTTTTAATCATCATAAATACAACGTAGCTAGAAGTACATACGTGTGAGTTGAAATAAAGTGAGTACGTGAGTGTGTATAATCTATAGTTTTTAAAATTTTTGTCTGTCTGTCTGTTACCACATCACGGAAAAACCACTGGACAGAGTTTGATGAAAATATCTCACCTCTGAGAAATCTATACTAAACGTTAAAACGTACCAAGGAACGAATCCGAGCAGGCCGAGGGTGAGACGCTAGTATATTATAATATTCTTTCTAATCTCAAGTATTGTCACATGAGCGTTGCGGGCTGCGGCACGTACCGTCCCTAACGAATGACGATCGTGTCTGTTTCGAAACGTGCA